TAGTAATATCCGAGTTTTAATCCGCGTTTGAAGCCGCGCCTTGCGTGATAAGATTAAACAACGAAAGGTGAGAGAGTAAAAAACAGAAAAAAAGTGTGACGCGAAAGAGTATGTTATATACCCTTTTTTTTTCAAGAGCCTACGACCTCTGGAGACTCTGATCGTAATATTCGAGTCGCGTTCATCCAACTTGATGTCGTCGCGGCTTTACGAGCGAGCCTTCTTAGAGCCCGACTTTATTCGGAAACTTGAGCACGCGCGCGTAAAAGGGCTCTGTTTCGTTTTTTTCCCTTGTTTTTCATCAAGCAGTAACGGGGCTAATTCAAAGAAGTAGAACGACTCAAGTACTATTTCGAGCACAATTGTATCAACTGAGATTAAATCAAACCGACGTTTCATTTCTTATCGTAAATCTCGTTTTCATGAAACGATTTTATCAGATAATTTATTGGCTTAGACGACATCAATTATCTATTGTTATAAAGATCGGTCTGTTATAAATGAGACGAACGTAATATAATGACGACGCATGAAAGGAATATAATTACTGCGACGTTGCAATATAGAAGTATGATCCTTTTGAAGTTCGAATAATGAGACATACGCGTAACTCGTTCCAACATGCTGCGTGTATTCATATCTCGTGTATGTGTAATATGTGCATTAAGTACGCATGTCTGACTCACAATGCAGTCTTTGTGCTGTCTATGCGCGTTGTAATATGCAAGATATCGCGTCATTTATTCGGTTTTTTTCTTTTTTTCCTGTAATATATCACCGAAACTCAGGAATATTATCCACTAAATTACTGCTCCATGCACATTTACGTTAGATAATAAACTCAAAAAGAAAAAATAATAAATACACCGCGATTTTGTTACTAAATATACCAAAATTCGATATATTAAACTTCTCATATTTTTCTATTCACACTATATGCATTTATAATCGAATAAAAACATGTCATACGCGAATAAAATATTGTAAGCAAAAACTGAAAGACTTGGAAACGTTTGCTAATATTAATTTGTGTAAATCAACGTATAGCCTTACATGACAAATGACTCTTGACTCCATTTATGTCTGCTTAACGCGACGCAAAAGACCATCCATCTCCGAATTTTGCTTACGACATAGTTAGTCTCTTCTCAATATCTCGCATCGCGCTGTATTCATATCGGAAACGCTGACTTTCAAGCGGAATTCAAGCAAACTTTAGCCTTTTCACGAAAATTGCGAAATTTTGCCAGGCCAGGACGCCAAAAGAAACAGCGAACATACAAAGGTATTCTGCGGTGTTAATCGACAACTTAAGAGATACCGATATTATTCAAGAATTCGCACCTTTTGCAAATTCCGCAGCATTGTCCTACCCGCTCTCTTTTGTATGCAATCCCTCCTCTCTCATTTTCTCCTCCGCTTCTCGTAGACGCGAGTTATTACAATGACTCTCCATCTCTCTCGAGTACCCTTGTTACCCGTCGTTAATTAGAGTACAGTCTGCTACCGACGACAACCAACTGCAAAGGAGAGTCTTCACTTCGTCTCCCTCGTCCAAAATTCTCTTCCGATTCTCTCTCTTTCTCTCTCTCTCTCTCATATGTCTGATCCACTGACGTCGGAGCACGATGTTTGCGGCTTGAATTATTCCGGTGGATCTACACGCGACGATCTGGATCGCGCTTTAAAGGATCCACTTGTCTAGCCCAGTCGTTACCGCGACGACATCGCTTACGATGGCGTCAGGATCTAACTGGAAGGACCTTACTAAATGGACGGAGAACTCGTAATGATCTAGAAGATTGATGCGCCACAATGGTGCGATGGTAAGTTCTCAGTTCCTAGGATATACTAGGACTACTACGTCGGGCTTTGAATATAGCAACATTTCGCTTGAATATATATCGCATTTGCATCACCATGGTTATCCACAGACAGAAATATATATATGTATAGGTATATATGTGTGTCTATATTATATATATATATATATATATATATATATATATTCCGCAAGTCGTTTTCTCGGACTTCATTAACCGAAATTCCTAAAATAATATAACATAGAGATCGCTTTTAGAGAATAATTGCAATTTCAGGTTGTAATTTTTGATTTTTAAAGCTATCACTTGGTAGTTACGACTACTGTTACAAATGTGAGCGAGTAAATCTCGGAAAGGCAAGGAAACAACTTCGAAGACCTGTTCATTAAGACAAACAAGGTAAGATACGTCGGAGTTGCAGAACGGTAGTGCTTAATTTCTCACGATGAAGTTCTAGTGATTAAGACTGCGATCAGACTTCGTGAAAGTTGCAAACTCAAGGACGTTCTCATATCAGTTTATATGCGGCCCCTGCACGGTAACCCCTCAGACATAACTGAAGAAAATTGAGTTACTTCGGGCACGTTTCAGATTGATTTCCAGGTATAACGGGGCCCTATATCTTTCTTCGGAACGAAGCGTGATTGGTTTTCAATCCGTTCTACGTGGATCGAATGATCATTCGGTAAAATTCTACTCCTACTAAACTCTTTTACAATATCCTTCACTGTGTGCGATAATTTGATCCCATGTTGTAGAACATTGTTATCGATTCTAAGTCTTCCCTTTTCTTTCTCTCTAAGAAGAAAGAGATCTTAGATTGATAAGTTAGGAGATATAATAATTATACATATACATATATTAATTACAAGAAAGAAAGTTTAAATCAATAATTATTATCATCCACAGCTATTTTATTTGCAATTTTATAACCTTTCTATTAAAATTGCATTATATAGATATTGATTGCGTTGGTAGGTAAATTATGCAAACACACAAACTCATATAATACAACACAATATATTATACAATATTAATATCGAGAGAGGCAGAAAAAGAAGAGAAAAAGGAAGAGAAATATAGTGGTTGTATAAATGCCATGATATTCTTTTAAATATCGGAATCTAATCGAAAGGTGTATATATATATTTTTTTTTTTTCGATTATATTTCGATATTTATATGTTATGATATTTATACGTCATATTTTTTCTCCGTTTTCTTTCTTTTTTTCTCTCTTTCTCTCAACATTATTATAGCATTATATCATATTATATGAGTTTATGGTTTGCACAATCTACCCATCAACGCAACCTCTATATAATGTAATTTCATTAACACAAAGAAAGATTATGGAAATGTAAAGTAAAATAGCTGTGAATGATAATAATTATTGATTTAAAGTTTCTCCCCTGTAATTAACAATAAAATATATTAAAACTGTCGGAAGGTAATAAATTATGTGACGGACGATTCCTGTAATTCGATTATTTCAACATCCATCAGGAAAAGTGACGGCATTAACGGATAAATGTCCTGGGTTATAAAAATTTAATGTCCGTCGAGATCTGAATACTCGTGAGATTGCTTTTCTCTTAAGCGAGTATTTTATGCATTTATCATCATTCCCGGTTTGACGCTTCTCGTTACGCGTGCAATAGATTAAATTCTAAACTTATTTTTCCAGCGAAACGTAATTAAAATAATTGACGGGATTGCATTGACGGGATATACTTTTATAACATCATTTAACTTGTTCCGATTTCATTACATCTGAATTAAAATTTTCTGTTAAAACCCTTTGAAGTAATATCATTAAGTATATCATTTTGAAATACCGCATGTATTTACATTGCTATACTCTCTTGTACACCTCTTGTTTTCAGTTATAATATTAATTAATATTGAAATATATATCATTATTCCTATTATTTTATATTCCTTTAATAAATGTTATTGTTAACGTTTAACACTTTGCGTAACATTTGATTCTATTAATATTATGAAAGCAGATGTGCATGGAGTTTCGATCAGCTTAGATAGGTTTCGTCCTACTTTGATATCTCCTTTCGCGACTGCCACGCGAAAAGTTGATTGTACTCGTTTGCGAACTTTCAACCAGTCGTTAATTGATGCGATCAATCCTTCGGTTACCGGTTATCGTGGAACATGCTTTCGTGTTCGTCGTTGCCGTTATAACTCTAAATTGCCAAAGTTTCGTTAAAAAAGGTTTGGAAAGAGAAAAAAATAATATTGCGCGATATTTCATCGTTTACTGCGACTCTATTCCTATTCTTTCTTTTTTCACTTTCCCGTCAGACGAATGAAAATATGTCGCGTAAAAAAAGAAAGAGACGTACATTGTGCCCATTTTATTATATTTTCAGCTCACAACTAAGCGACGCGTGGTCCAAAACATTATTTATTGTATTATCAAATATAATAAAAATTTGTGTAATGTGTGATAAATTCAAATATTTTAAACGAATCCTAAACGTTCTTGAGAAGTCTGCTCTTTGTTTCCTGTTTTATCGACAAAATATGAGGTTAGATAAACAATAAATCTATTTATTGGCTATTTGGGTTGTATTTTACTTGAAATTAGACCAGGCCTGTGAATTTGGCATTGGATAAAAGGAATATAAATGAATGTTTAGGTATCAATTTGGAAGCTTAGTAAACGAGAATAACTCATCCTACATTTTCATGCACAAAAATGTAGGATGAGTTATTCTCGTTTACTAGACTTCCAAATTGATATCTAAACATTCACTTATATTCCTTATTTATACAATGCCAAATCCGGCCTGGTCTAATTTCAGATAAAAAACAATTCGTATAGCCAATAAATAGATTTATATATATATAGTTTTTCTAACCTCACATTTTGTCGATAAAAGAGAAAAAAAACAACAGACTTCTCAAAAGCGTTTAGGATCCCCTTAACAAGTCATACGTACAAAAAATTAAATGTACGTTATTATGTTTACTCTCTGATGAGATAGAATATTTTTAAATAATTAAGATTTTATTAAAAATATTTAAATGCAAAGTAGTGAAAAGATTGATTAATTTATAAATCAATTTTTCCTTATAACCGCAAACCAACTCCCTCTTTCTATTTCGTTTTTCTCGCTTCACTTATTTCATAGAATAATGATGAGATTGCTGTACTCACTGTATCCTCCCACGTAGATCGGCGTCCACGTCACTTGAGTGTAGGCCAAGGGTGTCGCCGCGAATAATACAGCACTGAACCATACTGCTCGACGTACCGCACTCATTTCACTAGCAGCCTCGATAGTCGTCATTTTCTCTCGTTTCAATCAGTTCTCCGCCTCAATATCATCTTCCCTGGCATATCTCGCTACTCCGTTCCGCTTTGTTCGCTTCGTCCAGGGAACGCGCGCACAACAATACGTCACAGCCGTTGAATATCTACGCAATCGAACGAAACTTGTCGATACTACCCTGTCGTTTTATCCTTGTAATAGTCGGTATTTTCATATCGCCGCGATAGAGAGTCGTTCGACGGGTGGCTCGAAGAAAATTAAATGAATATATGTACACTGTAGCGTGACTCTTTTATACGCATAACATTTATACGCGTTTCGATAAAAGAATTCTCGAAGGAGGAATTTCATTAAAGCAATTCGGAAAATTAGTAGGAAAGGAGGATTGATATGCAAATGAATTGTCAAGATATATGCAATTGGGAGATACACTCATGATTGAATAAAAAAAAAAAACAAAAAAAAAATAAGCTGAGAAGAGCGATTTTTTTCGATCAATAATTCGTTTAATTAATCTTTTGCGGACTTTGGATCATGGTGGAATACGCGTATAATCGATTTGCGAGACAGTGAAATTAATTAATTAAGCGTGATCACGTATCTCCGCTTTAATTGGTGCTCGACATATATTGCCGGCAGCGGTAAATATGGAAATTTAAAACAAAGAGATAGCAGTTGTTTATCAGGCGGTTTTTCCACGTTTTTTTTTTTTTTTTTTTTCGAGCGAGCGGGTATTACGTCACGTTAAATTTTGCGTCCGCGCAGCCGTTATCCCTCTTCTCTTTCGGACAGAATCTTCATTTCTGCGCGAGTCCTGATTTATGCATTCTATACTTCACGTTCCTCCTTCTCGAAACGTATTACTCCGTTTCTTCGAGTATAACATGAAGACACAGTCATCGCTTCTACTGACGATGATCGCGAAAATAACGATTTTTCTACTTTGCTCTTGCTTTTATTTACCCCGTATTTTTTCTTTTTTTTACATTCGTAACATGTGCTGGACCGCGCGTGTGTTTCGCGATTTTTCGTCTCTTTTTCTCTTACCTCGACTTCCTGACGATCTTTTTCGCATTCCCTGTCGAACTTCGCGTAGACTTTTATTCGTTTTCCGTTAGATTCTTCAGTGGGTTTGCCCGGGTCAAAAAGCTTTTTTCCACTGACACAAAATTCCGTCTGTAACAAAATAGCAAAATATTTCATTAGAAGAGACTCCCTTTGACGTTTGATCATTAAGAGATGAAATATATACATATATATAAAGAGAGAGAGAGAGAGAGAGAGAGAGATTCAGTCTCAAAAAAACTCTGTAAAATTCCAATGGAAACTGTCGAAGTCAATTTTTCGCAAATTTACGCAACTTTTGCGTACGAATTTTGTAAATTAAAATTTGGCGCTTGTTCGTAAAACTTTTTATGTAAAATTTTTGTACTGGCAACAATAAAAAAGTGTAGCAATGCGTAACTATGACTGGATAAAACATGAATATGCAATAATATTATTTACAATTGAGGTAGAAAACTGTTTTAAATTCATCGACAAAACTGTATTGTATATATGTAAAGCGTATCTGTATTAAAGAGTACATGGTACCAATTATTGGAAATTGCCTTTAAAATTCTCTATCGCTTTAATTCATTCTCATAATCACCCCAGCATTATAATAGCATGAAACTAAAAATATGACTATTCGAAAATATAAAAATTTCATGACACAAAATTTTCCAAAGTTTTTTTTTCATTTAATTCCCATTATTCCATTTAACAATATTAAATATTATTCCTTTTAATAATATCAAACTGCGAGAGCTGCGAGAGCGTGACAGAGGTAATAATTATCTTAGTTATTATCGCAGTTATTTAATCTGTCAGGTCTCTCGCGATTGGTATGAAATTCATATCGCGTCGAGAGAGAAGAGACCGCATAGTTTCTCGGACTCGCAGCGGCGTTGACATTTGCATTTTCATCTGCTTGGAAATGTCGTCGATGTCTCGTTAGCGTATCTCCATCGAGACGGCCGGCGAGCTGGAGTGCATAAGTCGGAGGTTATGATTCCCCATAATGTTTCACGAGGTCGCCCGCCGGCGTGGAGACCACGAGAGGGGATTGGCGACCCCATTATCCGCACACTCGGGGCCAGTGGGGAGTCGGCGGCTCAATCATTCATAATGCGACAAGCCGAAGTTAACCCGTCGTTTTGCTACCTCGTGTTATTCACTCGTCGTTATCTACCGTCACCGGTTTTACCACGAACTTGTCCGGCAGTTATGAAAGCCACTCGGAAGGACGGCTTTTATGCACTTCGCGGCATCGGTGGACGATCGGCGCTTAGCTTCGGAAACTATGCGTCCTTCTTTGCCCTCTACTTAATGTATAATACTTATCGCTCATCCGCCTTATTAGGTCGCGCTATCTTCTTAACTGCTCTTAACATCGCTTTAACCCGAGATTCCTCAACACTTTCCTGCACCGTAGTATTTTCCGGTCTGCGATCATACTCAAAGTAGAGAGTAACTTCGCCGTCGTATCATTTTGAAGTAAAGAAAGCAACTTTGTTAAGGATGCCTCTTTCAAGGGTATAAAACTCAACTCGCGTAAATAACGGTACTTTATGTTCTACCCTTTTTTTATTCACTAATATTCACTAATTGTTTAGGTAAAACTTATATTGTCGCGTAAAACAAAGAAAACAATAAAGAATTATCTCTTTTCCAGTTAACAAACAGAAAGGATAATATTCAATACAATCTTGGTCTGATTAGAGATAGATTTATCTACTGAAAAGTGTTTTTCAAACATATTTGTAAGATACATCTATAATATCTATTAAAACATAATTTTTTGTTATAGCAATTTTTTATTATGACTTTGGTTATTACATAAACATAATTAAATAATACTTTTATTTGTTGGATTACATTATATTTTTGCACATTTCTGTAAGTTGAATCGTGTCTATAGTGATAATCTCTAACTATTTCATGCTACCGATCTCATTTTCAACAGCCATTGTGTTTCAGCTGATCATCCTCTTGAATATGATCCCTCAATTATAACTCGCCACTTTCGTCAGACACTTCTACTGTAACCGAGTCTAGTGTCTCCCTAGGTGAAGTAGTATTCCCCGCTTTTGTCTCGTCCTTTTTCGAGCAATCTCTATTGGAGCGATTATAATACTACGAACTAAAGTTCTAAATAATAAAAGAAACGCAATTGGCGTCTCGCTCGCTGATTGGCTGATCGCCTGTTGGGCCCGTAACAATCTTATATATGCAAATTATAATCCAAAAAATGATTCTAAGCAATAATGTATAAGTATAGTTTGTATGTTGTGTTGCTGCTTAGAATTGCTTAGAATCATTTTTTGGATTATGATTTGCATATATAGGATCGTTACGGGCCCAACAGGCGATCAGCCAATCAGCGAGCGAGACGCCAATTGCGTTTCTTTTATTATTTAGGACCTAAAGTCCTAAGTCCTGTTGGGCCCGTAACGATCCTATATATGCAAATCATAATCCAAAAAATGATTCTAAGCAATTCTAAGCAGCAATGTACAACACAACATACAAACAATACTTATACATTATTGCCAAATAAGAGAATATTGTTCTATTTTTCAATTTGATGTAATATTTTAGGTTGGGACTCTACACATAAGGTCGGTTCGTTTTGGCTACACTATTTCAGAAGTTGTCTTTTTTGCTCGACATTGGAAGGAAAAAGATAACCTTTGAATTAGTGTAGCCAGTGTAGCCAAAACGAACAGACTTATTATAGGCGTATGTGTATCACATGGACAGTTACGGGACCCAACCATGAGGGCCGCCATGACGATAGAAAGCGTGGAGGGGATACCAATCGCGTCTCTCTGATTATTTAGGACTCTACTACGTCCATTTGAAAGGTGCCGATGCAGTTAACTTTATCCAAGTGCTTATTAAATGCGTAGTCGAAAAGATATGAAAATAAAGATAAAACATGTAACACATATGCGGTCGAATAAGCAAGAAAAAAAAGCGACTTGTAATTGCGTTGTACAATTAGGGCTGGTTCCGTTTGAAACCGACTTAAAAGAGGGTTTTGATAGAGGGAGAACCAGCGGTTATGAAAGTGTCAGGAACACAAAGGCCGGTCAACCGTGCCCAATTTCTCTCTCCTCTCTCTCTCTCTCTCCTCTTCTCTTCGCGTTTCCGCTCAATCTCGAGATCTGCAATTTGCTTTCCTCATGGAAATATTTTCTACGTCAGAATTGTCTATCGATTATTATGCCCTATTGTACGGGCAAGAGATGAGGCTTCGACAGTCATAATCATACGTCTTCCGCGCGCTGTCGGGACAAGTAGCGAAATTTAATGTTCACGCTCCGAGGCTAAATGGCCAAGTTTCCCGCAACAAAGATCAAATGTCCGAAGGAGCAAATAGGTGCGAGTAAATAACATTTCCCGCTGCAAAGATAATTACTCGGGCCGCAGTTCGCGCGAGTTCACGCCGTGTGTCTAGAGTTTGCTTCTACTACAGCTTCTACTCTTCCTTCTCCCTCTCTCAACCTTTGTCTAGCTCTGTTTCTTGATGCCCCGACAACTCCTCGTTTAGCATCGCCGCAAATTAACCTCCAACAACGTTTTCCGCGTCCGTCTGGGGCAGTGCAATTTTCATTTCAAGGCGAGAAAACACGTGTTCTTTGGACGAGGCTTAATTCAGAAATTATTATATTATCCGCGGATATTAACTCGTTTTTATTTAATTTAACATTTACTTGTTTATTTAACGAAAAGAATTATGCAGAATTCTCAATTTATAAAAATATTATCAAAATATAAATGTATAACAGAACTAGAGAGATTCTTCTCTAAATTAAATCAAACGAGAGTAATAAATGTATAAATAAATAATATACGAGTATCATATAGAAAAAAATAATAAAATATTTAAATTATTTAAATTTATAATATTGATGATAATTAATCTGCTGATTCCTGTTGTAAATGCTGTTGAATCGCGTGGTGAACGGTCATAATTATTAATCGAGTCAAGTAGCAATTAGTTGAAATATCGATTAATTACGCATCAGAATGTATCTTAGCCCATCGACAATCACGATCCCGATTGTCTGCGGCTTCAGATGATTGTGCGTTTCATTGTATAATTAATCACCTGACCATCGCGACGATCAAACAACCCAAAGTGACGTTTCTTGCGGGTGTTCTAACTATAATTTCTTAACTAACAAGCAATGTCACTTACGCCTTTCACTAATTCTAAGATTAACGCATGTCCAATGACATCGAGCAAAATCGCCATTATTCTGTTTATTAAAAGTGCAAAAGATTAAGAATAAATATTGTTGCATTTTTATCATTATTTAAAAATGATAAAATTATTATTATATATTTGAATATTTTTATATTTAAATTTTATATACATTTATATACTTTTAGAATATGCATCTCTCTCATAACGATCGTATGATATAACAAAAATGATGTTAAAAATCAATAGATACAAAGTTTCGCTCGTATATTGTAAATACAACTAGTAATAGATAAAAAGGCCAACTTATCGAGCAATTATTAGAGTTGTTCTGTCAAATAAAATTTATTCCATGTATAAACTAAACATAAAACATTAGGTCAACAAGACAAGGACGATGTCAACGCCTACGGAACGTATTAATTTCTCGCATATTAACGATGAAACTTTTCGAGATTTGATTAAAATCAAAGATCATATCAAGACGAACATTTGTTGGATATGACGGATTGAAACACGCTTTAACTGCTCATAAATTCTCGACTCTTATTGAAGAACTAACATTAATTTTTGATATTATGTGGAATTTTTGTATGATTTTGTATTTTTTAATAATTACTGTAATATAATACTGTGAGGAAGACCGCGTGCGGTTGAAACGTTTATTTTATAATAATTGTAATTTTCGCTTAAGTTTGAGTATAGAATGTTTGTAGCTTTCACATAATGTTTTATGTTTAGTTTATACATGGAATAAATTTTATTTGACAGAACAACTTTAATAATTGCTCGATAAGTTGGCCTTTTTATCTATCACTAAAAATGATGTTAATTTGTTTGGGAATATTTATGTGATGATTTTGTCGAAGAAATGTATTACGTTTATTTGTTGAAATATGTAGAAGCGTATTTGTGCGCTGCT